GAGACACAGTGGGACTGAGGACAGAGATGGGGCAGTTACTTTATCTGAGGAATCTCACCTAGCTGTATTCTTTAAAGATGTCTTCAACAATATGAAGCCCCACTTTTTGCATCAAATGGGCAGCTTGTTCCATACACCCACAACCTTTTGTACAAAGCAATCTACTCCTCTGAGTTTTAAATGCACTTCCAGTTTGTGGAATGATGGCTTGCTAATTCAGCCATGGTAGTTTTGTTTTATTTAACAGCACGTCTAATGATCTAGAACAGACAATGTGCTTCTAGTATAAATCATGTTTCTAAGCTGACTACAGGCGATGCTGAAACTTTCCAGAGCAGGATTCTCCTGTCACCAGCCGCTGAGCAGATGCCTGTGCACTGCAGCCCCTGTCTCTGCCTCTCCTGTCCTCACTGCCTCTGCCTCCCTCAGATCTCAGAGGGCATCCAGCTGTGTGAGGGAGGGCCGTGCAGATACCAGAGACCCCTGAGGAAGAACCTACTGAGGAACCTGCTGGTGAGAAAGCCTGGCTTTCATCTGACACTCACCTGGAGAGAACCAGGCCGACCCCTGACACACACACACTGGGCTCCAGTGTGATGGAGCCACACTGACCCCTGACACACACACAGTCCTGCACAGCTCCACTAGAGGGACTGTAAATTGCTCTGAGACGATGTAACTCCACAATTTCATTGTGTGCTTGACTGATGTTTGGCAGGTGGAAGCGCTGGCCAGAGAGTTCCAGAGGAAGAAGTGATTTCTCCCCTCTCACCACACAGACCTCCTCCCCCCTCAGAGATGGAGACGACATCTGTGCACCCCCACCTGCCCCTCTCTGCCCCTGCGCTCCCCCCACCTCTGGTATCTCTCTGTCCTCAACGCTCTCTCATGCTTGTGCTTCAGCAGGCGCCATCTTCTCCCTCCATCATCTTCTGTCCCATGTTCTCCTCCTTCTCCTCCCTCCATCATCTTCTGTCCCATGTTCTCCTCCTCCTCTTGTCACTGTGTTTCCCAGCTCTCTCTTCTGATACCTCTGACGCCCAACTTCACCCACTCTCTCTCCTGCCCATCGTCCCTCTCGCTGACCACAGCCACATCGTCCCTCTCGCTGACCACAGCCACATCGTCCCTCTCGCTGACCAGCCACACTAACACATCGTCCCTCTCACTGACCGGTCACACTAACACATCGTCCCTCTCGCTGACCACAGCCACACCAACACATCGTCCCTCTCGCTGACCGGTCACACTAACACATTGTCCCTCTCACTGACCAGCTACACTAACACATCGTCCCTCTCGCTGACCAGCCACAACAACACATCGTCCCTCTCGCTGACCACAGCCACACCAACACATCGTCCCTCTCGCTGACC